AGCGTGTGCCTCTCCCTGGCAGGGTGGTCACGGTGGTTCTCCAGCACCCGCCTGTGCGAAGGGGGGTCAGGCAGTGGAGGTGGGTCGGGCAGCCGGGGCACAGCTTAGCTGCGGAATTGGTGGCCCAAACCATGAAGGAAACGTGACGTGTCACACAGCGCTATGTGACTGGGAGCACTAACAAAAAATGATGGGTCTAATCCCATTTTTTTGTGCATGTCTAGAGATGCACGGGTGTCAGGAACTGAGCCTTGGCAGAGGGAGGTGCAGGGATGGAGCGAGAGGGACGGGGAAGCGTCAGGCAGCGGTGGCAAGGGGAGGCTGGTGTCCGTGGTCTGTCCTGCTTAGGGTGTGAGTGTCTTCAGCGGTCACGGTCCTGGAGGAGCCTGGTAGAGGCAGGGGGAGAGAGGACTGCTGTCCCATGTCCCCTGCAAACCGTGAGCTTATTTGTGTCTGAGAGGAGAGAAATGGGTGCTTGGTCTGTGGTGGGGAGGTGTACCGTGCCCAGCAGCCCTGAGCTGGGCTTAGCCCTCTCCCTGGCCCTGGGGCGATGCTGGGCTCCTGGCGCTGCTTCACCAAAAAACACTACCCAGCCAAAGTGTGTGGCTGCTCCTCCCCTCTAACCGAGAGACCTCGAGCATTGTGGTTTCCGACTGAGCTATCCCAGATCCGGGCTCTGCATCCCGTTCTCCCTCTTGCCCCGCCGTCCTTGAAACCATTTGTTTTTTACCAGGGAGGTTGCTGTGCCAGGCTGATCCCGTAACAGGTACTTCGTATGGTTAATTGCAGTGTCCCAATTTATTTGCCTTAAAGGTGGAGAGAAAAACTTAGTATTTGCACTTAGCAAAACATTATATTAAAAGAAAGAAACCCTGTAAAGATGTGCATGTTCTGCAACTTTGTATAACAATAGCTGAAAATAAAATAGGTGGTTTATTAAAAAAAAAAAAGAAAACAAAAAATATTTTTCTTTACCTTCTGGTAGTAAACTGTTCTAATATTCTGTGTGTAAAAAGTTTCTGTATTATATTGTAATTTGAATTTTTGTAAATAAATTTGTGCACTCTGGCTTTTACCTCTGTGCTTTCGTTACAGTCGGAACATCGTCCTTCCATCCTGACTGTGCCGGCTTGACGCCGGGGCTAATGACAGGCAGCAGCAGGCAGCAGGGGTGAGCAGGCAGGGCTGTTTTGCCAGATCTCAGCCTGCGCAGTTGAAAACTCTGCAGTTGCAAGGCAAAACCCATTTGACCCTCCTGGAAAAGCTTAATACGTTCCATGTGCTCCTGAGGAAAAACTGGACGGGATAGAAAATGGTTTCCAGTTGCTCTAAATGGAAACCAGGATGCGCACGTCGTGGGGGAAAGGCTGGGGGGACCTCCCCCCCCACCCTGCAGGAGCGATGGTAAATACAGAATTTGGCCTTGAAAGCAAAAGGAAATGGGGGAGAGGGGAAGGGTGAGGGTCCTCCCTGCCGCGGTGCAGCAGCTCTGGAGCCCCTTCCCCGTGCGGGCACCCCGAGTGTCACGGCCGGGTCCGCTCGTGCACACATGGATGTCGGTGAGGGGGCAAGGGCAAGCGTGTGGCCATCGGAGCCGCTCGGCGTTTCCTGCGCAGCTTTAGTAAGTTTATAGTAAGGAACGAACATCCTTCCTTCCCTCGCCCCTTGCTGTGGTGCTGAAACCCGTGCCTGAAGCTGCGGGTCCCTCCTGGCAATGCCCTCCCCCCCAATCTGCCTGGGCTGTAATTTGCGGGGGGGCTGTGCAGCCCCTCTTTCCCAAAATTTGCTTCTAGCAAAGCAGCTTTAGATTTTAAAAGCCAAACAGGAGCCTGTCGGTGACCTGGAGGTGCTGAGCTGGGCTGGGCAAGATGAAGGGCTGTGCCAGGGCTGGCTGCTCTTGGCATGGGCGATGGAGTTGTCCCCCAGCCCCTCCATAAGCAGGTGCTGCGCCTCATCTTTGGAGCCAAACCTGAGGCTGGTTGAGGTTTAGGGCTAGTTTTGGCTGTCTCAGGGTGCGGGAGGGCTGGAGGGACGTCCTGGACATCCCAGCTCCTCCAGCCAGAGGCTCTGTCTTGGCCCAGGCTGGGCTGCAGCGGATGGATGAGCTTCCCACCTCCTTCCTGTCTTTGGCTTTTTTTTAATCTTCCCCTTGTCTGTATCACCGAGCAGAGGAGGGGGCCATGCCATGCGCCCCAAGGCAGTGCCCATCGCTCTCCCCTCCTGGCAGGTGCCTCCCCCTCAGGGCCATCGCATGGGGGGGAAATACCTGAGCCAGGGGGAGAAAAAGCAGCTCCTTCACGGCTCCGCTCCCGGCTGCGAGGGCAGGAGGGGGTGGGTTGCAGGAGGGGGTGGTTTGCTAGTGCGGCCCCCTGACCCATCCACAGGTCACTCATCCTCAAAAATGCCCGTGGGCTCGGTGGCTCGGGCTGCTCTGAGCATCTCGCGAGGCGACCTGGCCTCCAGCCAGCCTTGGCTGTAAGCCTGCTCGGTGGAGGTGAGCTGGTTGGTCACCATTCCCTTCCCACCAACTCATTCGGGCCCTCCAGACCCAGCTCAGTCTTTGTGAAGCGCTTTGGCCCCCAAAGGCTCCGCCACCCCAAATGTTCCGTGCCCGGACTCGTGCCTCTCATTAAAAGGCCCTTGCAGCCCCAACCACGGTTGCCCTGACAGACCACACACCACCGCTTGTATCCGAATGCAGGTTTTATTTTTTTATTCATCTTTCTCCATTTGAAGCTATTTTTTTTAAGTTATACAAATGGCACTTACAAAAAAATAATAATAAAAAAAAACCAAAACCCAAAAAACGAACAAACCCAAAACTTAAATTTTCAGAGTGAGATGTTTTCAGAGAGTCACGACACCCGATAAGAGGAGACAGGAGAGATGTTGACCTAGTGTCACACGGAAGAAGCCGGAGCGGGAGTTACGTGGTTCGAACTGCGACGGGGGACGGGGAGGAGGCGACACGGAGTGGGGGGGGTGAAGGCCAGC